TTTATATCTTAAAATATATTTTTACAAAAATATTTTTAAAATTACTTATTAAAAATATTTTTAAATAATTTTTTTTTAAAGTTATTTTGTGTAAATACCTAATCCAACACATTTGACGCAAAATTTCGCAAAATTTTATTAAGCTAATATGCCTTGTGCTATTAGAGAATCTTGTTCGTAATATCCTAAAGAATATATTTACAAACATTGGATACTTCATTATTAAAATATAGACGAAAACGTTACGCGCCACTACTTTCGCCAGGGACTGTATATAATTACATATTCATCTGTTTTAAACAGTACATGTTTAAATAATGCACTTTCAATTTATAATGTCTACTTGCATAATTTACAAATTAGCGGTTTGAAAATATTTCACACTAAGATCGCATATGGGCGGATTTTAATTCCACACCAATTAACTTTAGCCAAAATTATCAAAATTGGCCAAATTTTTAATCAGCCAAATTATATTTTTCATGATATTTTTAAAATGAAAAAATTAGGTGATTTAATAATCGTATTATAAGAGCAATCTCTCGCACACGCTGTATTTGGAGAGGGATACTGTTCAATCCTCATAATCGTTTGGCATAAAATACCGCTGCCAATGTTCTATATTTGTCGATAATAATAGAGAATCCTTATCAATTAAGTCTATAATTTTTTATTTCTTTTCATCATTAACATCATTATCAAATAATCATCTTTCAGTCTTCAAGAAATTCTATTAAAAAAGTCTATTACAATATTGTATGTATTACACATTTTAAAATTGTTCTTAGAGGATTTTTTGAGTTTTGTTGTGTTGTATAGCCGATTGAATTGACGGTTTGAGCTAATTAAGTTGTCAGTTGGATGACTGTTGAAGATTAAATTCCTTACAGATTTGCCGTCCGTTCTGGGTGCTTCCAAACCGATGTGTGCCAAAATTTATCATCTTTATAGTATTTAAAATTTTATGCCGAAACTTGAAAAATATCATAAAATATAGGGAAATTTCAGCTGTGGCGCAATCAACACTTTGTTATTGCTTTAGATGACCGGCACCTATTTGTTGAAATTTCGTCAACCTACGTCAAAAAGAAAGTTGAGAATTCGATTCCAAATTAATTCGAGGAAATATAATAAAGAATAAAGGAAGAAAAATGCTATTTTGTTGATACTACATTCCAAACTACTTTTTGTGATTTCTGACAATAATTTATTTTGACAATATCTATTTCTTTAATCAAAATTTACATTTGCAAGCAAGAGTAAATATTAATTCTCAAGATTTGCAAATATAAAAGGGAGAGATTAAATAACCGAAAGGGATCAATCATAGGAAATTTAAAATTAAATATAGAATAAAAAGTGTAATATTACTTACTACCTGATGATGATGATGATGATTATGATGATCTACCTAACGGAAATTAAATCCCTCCCAATATATCAAAATTATATACAATTAAGCAAAGTCTAATTAATTGACTCTTTTTGTTCCATTAATTCATTTCACCACCCGCCCAGCCCATTCCAGTCTCATCCAATATTAACAGCAGGTTATTTAAATTAATTCTTCCCACCCCACCGGGGACACCAAAAAAAATAAAAAATTAAGAAATCTTAGCAACACATACTGCATGTAATCACCCCGATAAACTTTTGCCAGATTCCGCGCCGTCGATTCGAATTTGAGTCAGCAACATTATTTCCTTGAGGACCGGTAGCATTCCCATTACCACCATTCATTCCGACACGACCACCATAAGGATTCGGATCATCCACATTTCCAGATGGCATCATACCACTCGAGTGCTTTGGTCCTTTAGATCCTCTCTTCGAATTTGTATGAGCTAATGCAGGCGATGATGGGTTATTTTGTGGCTGTTGACCACGATTCATCGATGGTCCTCGAGTGAGCGATGAGCGATGAAGTCGTGGATCGGATGTTCCATGGTGCTGATGAAGATGAATACCAGCGTTTGAACTGTACTGCTGAGATGAGGTTCCATGAAGTGTTAGGCGTGTGTTAGTTTCAGGGTTCAGAGCACCGTCATCTTTTCTCTATTGTGATTTATAAATAATACGTGTGTGCAAAATAAAACAAAAAAGAAGAAAGAAACAAGGAAAAAACATGGAATAAATAAATAAATAAAAAAAATTGACATGAAAGAAGAGACAATAAAATACTAAAATAAATAATTATATAAAATTTTTTTCAATGCATAATGAATTGCTTTCTTACTTTATGACTGTTCTATTTTTAATAAATAAAATAATCAAATTTGCTCCCGCCCATCCCAAAATTATGCACACACGATTACCAATTTAAAATTATAAAAGCTTACCGTACTAGTTTCCCATCCTTTACCGCCATTAAGTAACATCCAGTCATACACCCCATCTTCTGTATCATTTAAATTTTTCAAAACTTTCGTGAATAAATCTCGGAGAAAATCATAATCTGGATTCTCTTCGAATCCCAATTTACGAACATAATTAAGGTATATGCCAAACTCCTCTACAAGGATAGAAAACATACAAATATAAATAAAAATGAAATTACTTTTGTTACGATAAATCGGTAATGACCTAAATTTACCTGGAAAACCATCGCATAACTCTTTAATAGGCGTTGATTGTTTTTTTTCACCAATTTTCTCGTATTTTTGTTTATTAGTTGCTGCTTTAAGCCCTTGCCAAGGTAGCCCTCCTCTTAAAAAGTACATAAAAACATGACCAAGAGCTTCCAGATCATCACGTCGTGATTGCTCTGCAAGAAATATTCATCGGTTATAAACTATGATTCAATCTATTATTTTCACCTCGAGGTAAAATATTAAATTAATATAATAATTTACCTCTGCCCAGATGAGTGTTTATGCTCATATATCTTGCAGTGCCACTTAGACTTTTTCTCTCCCGATAGGGAATATGTTGTTTAGTCTTTGGGTCTCGATATTGCTTTGCCATGCCGAAATCTACAACGTGAACTGTATTAGCTCCTTTTGTTCCTGGGCGACCAATTAAAAAATTATCTGGTTTGATATCACGATAGATAAGATTCTTCTCATGAATTGTTTGCACACGTGTAAGCTTATTCAATTAAATAGCAAATATAGGTGTGGGGAGGTGTGCGTTTGTATATATTTTTTTGTATCGAAATAGAACATAATTGAAGTTACATAAGAAATCAAAAATATAATCAGATCATAAATTTGAAGAGCAAACCACCGATTTGAAATAATTGTTTGAACCATAAAAAAAACAAATATCATCTAACCAGCGTACCATTTGTTTAGCTACCATAACCACTGTTTTAATGCTGAATTTCCTGCCGCACATATCAAACAGATCTTCTAAACTGGGCCCAAGCAGATCAATTACTAGTATGTTATGCAGTCCTTCCTGTCCAAAATAATATACATTCGGTATACCGGCTGAAAGTATATGCATTTTATATTAATTAAAATTATAATTCTTTACAATAAAATGTCATATTAAGTTAATACGCACGTGATCCTTGCAAAATCTTATAAGTTCGATATTCATCACGGAGTTGGGGTGCATCACTTTTACGTGGTTCCTAATTTTTAATATATTTTTATTCTTAATATTTTGCATACTAAGCAAAAAAAAAAATTTTTTTTCTAACTTACAAATTTAATCGCGACTTGTTGATTATTTAGTAGGTTCGTTCCTAAGGAGGTAAAAGTAAAGGGGTTCCGTCAAATATATGAAGATTAAAAAAGACGAATTTTTTGTTTCTCAAAGCTCCTTTCTTTGTATAATTTGAAGGATTTCCTATAATGAGGATTTTTTTAACACTTAATAAACCTATCACAATTAATGATTGATGACAATCAAGTTTTGCTACAAAGACTAGAAATATCTGTATTGTATATTTTCACGACCTCAGTCCTACTTTAGTTAGATTAAATGATATTTTTTTTTTAAGCTACCTTCAAAGATGACCCCAAAGCTCCCTTCACCGATTTTTTTCCCGACTCTGTAATGTACACCTACGACATTAGAAGACTGTAGACTGTGAGAACTACTGTGCGAACTATTGGCCATCGAGTTTGTCATGTGATGTTTTGTTGTCATCCTTCGATTTCTGCCAAGATTCAATTTATCACTCTTTATCCTCTAAACTATAGCCAATGTGAGATGGTTGGGAAGTTTATTATTTTCTAGATCTTAGAAGAGAGAAAAGTATTATTTAATGTTAAATTTAGTTTTGATAGTGTTTTTGAGCAAGGAACGGGTGGGGGCGATTCTTAAATTTATTAAAAAATTAAGGAGATAAAATGACTAAGATTAGATTGTTTGTCTTGGGAAAATTAAAAGATGGGGGAATAAAAAAAGAACGAAAATATAAGTGAGTTGAGTTGTAATAAGCGAGTAGGAAATAAAAATGCGAAGTTATAACAGGGAAAAAAGCAAGTTCGGTTGGAAGTACGCGGACAGCAACGGCTATAGTGTAGCTTTTTTATTACCGTGTAAGGAGAAAATTGACGGTGGGCGTCATATGGGGCGGATTCAACGCATTTCAATAAGTAAATTTATGTGAAAAATTGAGCAGATTTCGATTGTACTACGTGCAATCAATTCGATAGACCAATCGTCAATCGTCGTTACCATTTCGAAAAACCAATACCACAACGGTCACAACGTCACTTTCCTCCATAATATCGGACGAATATTAAATCATTCTCTATACTATACACCCAATTTGGTTACTATTTATTATTCGTTATTTATTATTATATCATTATTTCAAATCCCAGTGGGGCATATTGATCGTCAGAAATTTTTGACCGAGAACCAGTGATACTGTCTCAAAGAAATATAAGACTTGTGAACAATGCAATGCTAATAATAGTGGACCCTTGTTAGTAAATTTAATTTTTTTTTTTTTTTTTTTTTTTTTTACCAAAAAAGGGACCGTCCACATTTGTTTCAGGGACCTTATAACGTCATCCTTTTTAAAGATCTTCATTGTGCACTTTCAAGTTACGTGTAAATAAGAATCATCTTTATTTGGAACAGCAGTAATAATGTCTTTAAGACCTGGTGAAATCAGTTTAGGAGTAAGTTTATTTTTTTTTAGAGGGGAGCATTAGAAAAAACGTGTGACATGGTCTTCTCGCATAGTGTATGCTATAATTTTTGTTTACTCTCCCCAAGACCACCCTTGTGGTGATTGAATATGAGCATGGCGTTATTCTTGGAGCTGATTCACGTACTACGAACGGATCTTACGTTCATAACCGTGTTACCGATAAGTTGACTGAAATTGATGAAAAAATATTTTGTTGTCGTTCGGGAAGTGCATCAGCCACTCAAGCAATCGCTGATATTGTTCGCTATTACTCGCAAATGTTTAGGTAAATATTCCTCTCGCGTTCTCTACGTTAATTCGTATTTTGATTGGATAATAAATTTGAATCAAAATTTTCAGATTTGAACAAAATCCTGATAAGAAATCAAAACGAGTATATTGACTTTACATATAACATATTTGTGCTTTACATTTTATAGTGCACATAATGGAGAAACGCCGTCAGTATCAATTGTTGCATCATTGTTCCAAGAACTTGTTTACACCAATAAAGATGCTTTACAAGCAGGAGTTATTGTCGCTGGTTGGGATAAATATCACGGTGGATCAGTTTATAGCATTCCACTTGGTGGTGGCTCATTTAAACAACGTTATGCCTTGGCTGGTAAGATTATTTTTCAACCAATTTCTACTGTTTCCACTGAGAGAATCCACTGACTTTTTTTCAAAATATTTCGCATGTATAGGAAGTGGATCTGTTTATCTATTTGGTTATTTTGATAAAGGATTTAAGGATGGCATGACGAAAGAAGAAGGAATCGAGTTTGTGAAGACGGGTAGGTGCTAATTAGTTATCAAATCAAAAAAAAAATTATTAATTATCTTCATTTTATAGCTGTTTCTTTGGCCATTGCACGTGATGCCTCGTCTGGTGGATGTGTTCGAATGGCGGTTATTAACGAGGCGGGTGTGGAACGATTATTTTACTCTGGAGATAAATTAGAAGGCAAGTTATTTGTTTTTAACTATTCGAGTATATACATTAATTTAGTAGAATAATAAATGAGTCGATCTTAATTTTTAGACTTCGAATAAAATGCACATCAACTTATTTATTTATTAAGAGAGTGTGAGTCATGATGACTAGAAGGAGAGAATCATCGATAAATAAAAAAAAATATGCTAGAAATCTACGCGCGTTATATTTCTTATTTTCTATTGTGATATGATAACTCTACCGCAAATAATTCGACCCGTTTTTTCGTTAAATTCATTTATATTCGTGCAGTTCGCTGAAACGGGAAGATTTATTCGTTTATTTAGTTCAACACCTACAACTAACTCTGAACAAGATTTTACTAGCGCATTAGCAAAGAATGCTAACATTGAACAGACCAAAACAGAGCAAGAACAAAATAAAGAAGAGTCCGTCAATGCAGCAACCGAACCAATCAAAGATTGGAAACAAACCATATTAGAAGCATCAGGAAAAAAAGAAGTAAAACTGCCACAAACACCAAGAGTACTGCCAATATCATCATACTTGGAGCAAACAACGTTACCAAATGAAAAAAAAGAACAAATGCAACCCTTTATTAGGAAGACCGTCGTCGACAAACGGAAAACCCCAATCTCTCAACTAGCGAAAGTATGGGAACGACCAACAACCAAGCTAGAAACAACTCCAAACATTGAAATAGGTTTTTATGTATATTGATTCTTTTGAATATGATCTCGCTCGCGCGCGCTCATTACACACACACACACACACACACACACACACGCACACACACACATAATATAATATATTATATTTTTTATGAAATAAGCAGCAAATAAAAAAGCTACCTCCCGATTTGTATTGATAAGCAGACTTCCATTGACCACTATACCGGGTGATATCCGAAACTTGGCATCAAATGTAAAGGTTGAATGGGCGCAATCAATTCAAGAAAGTGAATTATCTCTTTTCCCCCTTTGCTTCAAATAAATGAAGTGCAATACGGACGATAATAACAATAAATTTTCTAACGACACATAGTATGTTTATGGCGGAATGAGTTCTATAAATTTATCGGAAAAGTTGCCGTTTATTTTAATACACCACTTGCTGCCGAACGTTTTATCAGAACTAATCTCAATAGTTATTTGGCTGGGCAGAAAATCATGTGTGAATACATCGTGAGTGTTTTTCTTTTAATTCGAATGTATCATCAAAATATTTAATTATCATTCTTTATTAGGGTGCTGATTTGTATCACAAATATCGTAATGAAGAATTAGTTCGCCGGTCTGGCACGCACGTTCAGCTTTTGGGATTACCCGCCATAGTGAATCAATTCCAAGTGGATCAAGCATTGAATGGATATGATATAATTGATCGAAAAAGAACTGGGATATGTTTACTGCGCAGGTTCGCTTTTGTTCCTTAATATATTTTTTGATGCTTTCAAATTGATTACTAATTTTTATTAAGTATACACCACTACAGTCCGGACAGGGAAGCCACTACTAAATGGCTTATAAAGCTGGAAAATAAAAGGGAGGCGCATCGTTTAGTTAGAGATGCTGATAATAATTTCTTGCCTGTTCCTTTAGGTTTTGAATATAAAGTTCATGCTTCTATTATGTATTAATTTAATTACTCGTTATTTTTTTTATTATCTATTGTTTCGCTAGGTCATCATATGATTAATTAATACAGTGGCAAAAGATTTGTCCTTGTGTAACTTATCCACGATCGATTTTCTCTTCACGTGATTTTAATCACAACCATTTAGAAAACAGGTTAGAAAAATTTCGTGATGGGAAAATCGATCGTGGGACTTTTTCTTGTCTTGTGTAATGTTAAAAGTTTTCAAAACAACATGTATGATTTTGATAGAGAAAAATGAAAAGTTCACAAGAAATAAAATTTATTGATCAAAATAGTAGAAAACATGCAAAGAGAAAACATTTTCTCATGGCTTTTTTGTGTCTATGGTTATTGGTTTTGCATGTTTCCGGTCTTTATCTTTTTACTCGTGGTTTCTTACTTACCCGTCTGGCATTAAATAATCGAAGCAATTGTACAACAACGCCGATGACAGATGCGGAAGAAACGACCACATTTAATGAATGCTTGCAATGGCCACGTTTTAGCAAAGTAGTGTTGATTGTAATTGACGCTTTGAGATTTGATTTTGCAATACAACATGAGTATAATAATGATGATGAAACATCTTCTGAACTATATCACAATAAACTTACAATATTTGATAAATTGCTGAAAAAAGAGCCCGAAAATGCCATGTTATTCCAATACGTGGCAGATGCACCCACAACTACTCTACAACGGTTAAAAGCACTGACAACAGGCACGCTTCCCACTTTTATCGATGCCGGATCTAATTTCGCCGGGTCCTCAATAGAAGAAGACAATTTAATATATCAATTATGGCAAAATGGCCAAAATATTGCATTTATGGGGGATGATACTTGGGTGTCGTTATTTCCTGAGCAATTAGACTCTAATCTCACTTTTCCATTCCCATCCTTTAATGTAAAAGATCTTCACGGAGTAGACGACGGTATTCTACAATTACTGGGTCCCGCTCTTGAGAAAAAAGTGTCACCGTGGAAAAACGAGGACAAAGAATGGGATGTTCTTATTGCTCATTTTCTTGGTGTTGATCATTGTGGCCATCGTTATGGACCTAATCATCCTGTGATGGCTGCAAAATTGACACAGATGAATGAAATGATCAGGAATGTGACTGAATTGATGGATCAAAATACGCTATTGCTTATTATGGGCGATCATGGAATGGACTCCAAAGGGGATCACGGCGGTGATAGTAATAATGAAGTGGAATCTGTTTTATTTATGTATAGTAAGAGACAACTTTTAGATCCTCATATGACCAAAAACCTCGCGAACGTCTTTAAACAATTGGATAATAATTTTCCCGGACATCGTTCTTCGTTTACCGGTAAAGTCGATAGATGGCGATCTATACCTCAAATTGATATTGTCCCCACCTTATCACTATTACTGGGATTACCAATTCCATACAACAATCTCGGATCAGTAATCCCAGAAATATTTCTTCTGTCCAAAGATAAAGAGACTGCAAATAATAATATAAATGATGCTTGGGAAACTTTATTGAATGCTGTTCGACTCAATGCTCGTCAAGTCTACAGATATTTAAAAGAATATTCACGTTTACAGCCGACTGGCGAATTATCCAAAGAATCTATTCACATTCTTGATAATTTATATCAAAATGCAGAAAATCAGTATAATTTACTGAGAGATTCATTTGAAATATCACCGGATGAATTAGAGAATTCGTATTTGAATTACATGATTTTCATGCGAGCGCTGCTCTCTACGTGTCGTCGTATATGGGCACAATTTGATTATCCTTTAATGATATCTGGAATTTCAGTGCTAATATTGAGTTGTGTATGTATTTTCATATGTGTATTGAGAAGCGATTCAACATTTGAAAAAGAAAATACAAAAGTAGTTTCACGAGTTCTTACTGGAGGTGCGCTTGGAATTATATTCTCAAGATTAGAGATATTGCATGTCTTACTTCATTCACTTACAAAAGATTCAATATTTGCAAGACTAGATTTTGTGATATTTGGGGCCACAGTTGGATCTATCATCGGATTCTTTGTACATCATGTACGAGGTGATTTGTTCTTTGAATTCAGAAACAAATTTTCTCTTGTTATATCTTTTGATGAATTTTTGGCATTACTATTTCAAACCTTACATGTTCTCTCATTTGCTTCGAATAGCTACACAGTCCACGAAGATAGTATCGTCCTTTTTATTTTACAGACTTTTGGAATATTGATATTTCTATCAGGGTTCAGAAAGAATATTTACAATCATAATTCATTACGAAAAAGACATTTGTTTCTTGGTTCAAGCTTTCTTTTTTTGACTAGGATTGCATCCTACTCTACTATTTGTCGTGAAGAGCAAATGCCATATTGCACACCTACTTTTTATACTAGTGCCTCGACATCAGTATCTTCACAGACCGCTTTAATAACTTTAGTTGCCATCGGGCCCATTATACCTTATCTCATTCGATTATTATTCAATAACACCAAAAGTTATTATGGATTTGCGCCAATATGGAATGATTGGTTTCTGAGAGCTGGGTTGTTACTCTCGGCTGCTTATTGGCTTTTAGATGATAATGAGGATTTTCGTGAATCTATTACCAGCACTACTTCATCTAGTTCCGTTAATATTATGGGAAAGTGGGCTCATGATTTTATTGCACGAATGGCCTTTGGGATTGCGTTAATAGTGGGCAATATAGCGTGGTGGAAAACCCCATTATGTTTAGACTTAGATGTAAAAATGATTGATACTGGTAATAAACGATCTAATATCGAACAACAAAAACACGCCAGAATCGTGGGCGATTCGAATATGTTTGGCGCCAGTTATTTTCTTTACCTGACCACAATATATTTAACGGTCATTATTACACAAAATCCGATGGGTGGTATTATGATTTCATTGGCTCTTTTGCAAATTATGACCCTTGTGGAAATTATTGATGCAAAACGTGATGCAAAAAAACTAGATAATACCATTACCACCACCACTGATACAAATATTGGTATCGAGAATATATTAGAGATCACAATTCTAGGATTACTTGCAACCCATTATTTCTTCTCAACTGGACATCAAGCAACACTGTCCTCGATACAATGGTCTGCGGGATTTATAGGGATTGCCGAACTCAATTATATCATTTCTCCAATTCTAGTGATTATTAATACATTAGGATCCCATATTTTGGTATCTATCGCTGTTCCACTGCTAGTTTTTTGGAAACTTTCGCCAAATATTTATGATAACGAAAATAGACCATTGGTGATATATCCAACACTTTTACGAACAATCTTACTATATACAATGTATCAGACATTGATCGCGGTAAGTACTAGTTTTTGGGCAGGATGGTTTTCTAGACATTTGATGGTTTGGAAAGTTTTCGCCCCACGGTTTATGTTAGCTGGTGTTGTATTGGTTATTACGGATTTGTTTATATGTGTGGCCGTTTTCTTTACAAGTCGTAGAATTTTAATGGAAGTTGAAGAATTATTTAAAGTTGTGTTTTGAGTTGATAACGAGAATATATATTTATCGTCATCTTTATTGTTTGATATTGAGAAATAGAAACGAATCAATAGGCGAATATATAAGTAATCAAATAAATAAATTGGAATACATATGAACATTGACAAGCACAAAATGTCAATCCAATAAATAAACGTAGATAGTCTATCATCTATCTAGACAAATAAATTTAAATTAGAACTCCTGGGATGCATAGATGATCCCGAGAGAATCCACCACCCAACCAGCACTCCCATATAATCCAATAATATCATAACCATCTGGTACTTCAAGCAAATGTAAAGAGCCACCGTTACCGCCAATCCATCCAGAAGTACGACCATTGTCCAGACAAATTTCTAAGCCGTCAACCCACGCGCCAGATCTCACTTTTATCGTCGCAATTTTTTCACCCTTAAACAATTTGAATTCAAATGTCGAGCCACCTTGGCCACCATGTCTCGTGGATGTGTTATCCGAGAAACAAAATGTTATTCCATCAATAAATGCACCCGCATTAATACATATTTTTGTTAAATAAACAGAATGACTCTTGGAAGATTTTTGTCGAGATGAAGGCGATAATCTTGAAACGATAGAATTAGAAGTCGCAGTGATTGATTTTTGAAAGAGTGTTTGAAATTTTTGGCCACCGCCATTTCCAACTTTTCCACTTTTAAATGCTGCTATCCCAGTCGACAAATGAATATGATGATCTTTTAGGAATGATTCCAAATGCTCTATGGTATTTTCATTTTGATTTTGAGCAATCACATGAAGACGAATTTTTTGTCCGTCCTGCCAATTTATATGTTCTTTCACCTTACTGATATTTAATGTGACACTCCCGGAATTCTTTCCGTCAACGTATTCAAAATGATGCGCATACGTATCATTCACGTGTACCTCGATTAATGAAATAGCACAAGTTCCGCAGCGAATTAACACAGAATCTTTTAATGGCCAGAAATCAGGTGCGAAATTTTTTAGCTCAGGACGTTTAGATGGATCGGACGGAAGTCTGAAGCACGGATGAAATCTAAAACGAACGACATCACATCTATGCCAATGCGCTCCATATTCTAACGAGGGTGTGATAGGAGTGGGATTATTCGGCTCCTTTACTGTAAAAGTTCTATTAAGATTATTGAATCCGCGTGACATAATACCTATTAATTAATGATATTATGAAATCATTGAGTTTTCGATTAAATCAATATTCGATTAAATAAACCAAGGCATGGATATTAATTTTTACCCGAAAAAGAATGGGGTAAAGTCAAAGCGTGTCCAACCTCGTGAAGCTAAATTATTTGAATGTCAATTACTCATCTCAATGTCTTATAAATATGATTAAAAAAAAAGGAAATCAATATTACCATAGCTCCTATACCAATATTGCAACACTTCCACCATGTTCCAGATTCCCCGACATCATTGGCCAAAATTCGTTCATCCGTTTTTGTATTATTTTGGAAACAGTTAACAACTTCTTCAAGATACCTCGGCCAAGCATGTGTTGTATGACTTCCAAAGATTCCCAATCTCACGTGCCCAGCACCACCACCTATAGCCAAAAATTAATTTAATAATTTGCATAATATTATGTTAACATCAGTATATTATTATTCAGCAATATATATCTAAAAGATTATTTACCCAATGCAGCATGTCCACGAATCAATTTCATTTTCGGATCATAATGAGTATCAAGAATTAATCCAGCCACATGACAATCTTTATCGAAAGGCTTCCCATATTCGGCGAGTGCGTCAAGAAATATAGAGAATAAATCCTTTTTTTGTGTTGGAGGGGTGCCCGGTGGTGGTTTATATTGTTGAGCTCTTTCGGGATCCAATAATTCCTCACGAGTATAGCTTGTACGAATAATATGTATTTTGGCAGTTTGTCGTAATGAATTGTCTTGATTAGTGATAGTATCTATCGAATAACGACAAATAATATAATTTTTGATTAATCGAGGAGAGTACACACATTAATTGTATTTTCTACCTTTTTTTTACCTTGTTCCCAATCTTCATCCAATCGAAATACTCTATAAAATAAACATTCGATTTAAGGGGCAGCAAAATTGATAATAGCGATAGCAATAAAGGTTATGATCTCACCTTCTTCCGAAACCATTACGACACATTTGTTCTGCAGTAAATGCTTGCCACAAATAAGCGGCACACCGAAATTTTGCCTTGACAGCATCCAATCCATTTTCATGAGTCTTCTGTTTTTCGAGAGGAGCATCGATCACTAAGTTCGAATCCTTACTCAATAGAATAGCTAAATGTAATGGAGGATTCTGCAGTAATGGTACATAATTAATCTGAAGTGGAGTCAATAGTGGCCGATCATGTCCATGAGAGTTCGGCGCATTTAATGTGAATAGTAAATCATTTTGACCTGGATTATTTAATTGCATTATATCAAGGAATACAATCAAATTGAAGATTCATAATGTTCAGGGAAAACTGAATCAGACGATGATGATTGACGATAACAACATTTTAATGATAAAATTCTGGCATTCCTCTTGTGTCACTAACCTGGGTCAAGATGAACAAGACATTTAAAGTGGGTATGATAAACAGGCCAACAGGTTGAAGGAAAGTTATTCTTATGGTGGCTTACAGTGATATTATAATTCACAGAAAAATCATCAACTTCCACTCGACCATAAATCAACAAGATACGCTGTAGTTAAGCCACAACGCAAAAATAGATAAAATGCTTTAAAAATAAAATTTGGTTGTGTGTTTGTTTAAAGGAACACTCTCTATCTAAATAGAGACCTGATGAACCCATTCTCCATTTTTAACACTTAATATAACGGGCGCCGACAGAGCAGACTTTTCGGGAATGGAAAAGTCAGTTCGACCTTTCAAGTCATCTGGAATTAACATTACTCTTGATTTAACATGAAAAATTAAAGTTCAATAGCCCAAACAATCGAGAACAAACATACATATCTGACTTATGCAATCGGTTCATTCTTCATATCTTACCAAAATTAGGAAATAGAATTTAGCTTTCGATCATTTTTATTTTGTGCATTAGCGTTAGAGTATGAACCTTTTTCAAATCCCGTCTAGGTAAAAAATTACATTATCTATTTATCCTTTTTATAGCATTCTAACCCGATACTATTTTAGTTGCGGTTTTTTTTTTTAATTAGTGATACCTTACTTTGGCTTTTTTTGGTATGAGGAAGGTTAATAAGGTGTCCTCCGTTATTTTATTGCAAAAACTTCCGGTCTAAAAATGTCTATTATTCAAAATCTTGGTAATCATAACAAACCCATTATTCTCTGGTGTTATCCACATACTGTTTCGACAGCATTCGAATGTTCATTCATTCAACGTTCCGATGAATTCATTTGCTTTCATGAACCATTTGCTGGAGTTTATCCTATTTTGATGCTGACGATCTCTTGCAAGATCCTCATGGAAGCATGTCTAAATACTGCGAACTGCTAGGAATATCATTCAAAGACTCGATGTTGAAGGCAAAATTCCGGGGTGGGAAAGCATGGATGGGTGGCATCAGTAAGTATTTCTATTTTCTTTATTATTCAGTTAGGCGAGCACATACAATAAAAGATAATACCAAGGAATCTCATGATTTCGAATATCCTTCGATTGTTTATGAAAGCATACAACAGAATAAAGCAGGCTACCAGTACAAATTGAAATTTTAAATTTTCAGCGGTCCATCATTTAACATCGCTGGTAGTGAGTTCCAAATTTAGCTGTGTATAAAAATCCAAGTAGTAAAAACTCATAAATTGTTAAGAATAATAAATCTCCCTATTGTTGGCGAACTATTAGCATTCGAAGTAACTCCCCGGGTGGAGTTTATTATCTGGCTATCGCCATGAGATCAATATAATAGGAATCAATCACTAAAAAATTTTCAATATTGTCAATAAATTAGAGTTTTTTTTAAAATGAAATTCATTAATTGATCATGTGGCAAATAGCTAGGTCAAACAACGCTACATAAATCTATTCCAAATTTCTTTTTTATCAGACAATACACCTTTTTCTGGTCCTCGAAATGAAGGACACTAATTACTACGATCTATTAGGCGTCGAACCAAGCGCCTCGGACAATGAAATTAAAAAGGTGATTTTATATTTTTTCAAGTTTCTTTGCCATTTGAAACTTACCGATCTATTATTTTGTTAGGCCTACCGCAAATTAGTAAGTTACTCGCTTCTGTTATACCTCCTATTAGTTGTTATATAGAAGTTGGCTCCTAATTTTAGCAAATGCTCACAAGACCGACACGAGTATTGAAATTCTCAAAGAATGGTGTTGAGTACGGTCTTTAATAAAATTCAATCACTACTCTACTTGAGGCTTACACTGTCAAAGTGAGAAAAAGCAAAAGCCTCCATTTCCGGCTTACCGAGCGTTAGATGGACTATACGTAATGACAAGTTCATGATTTGAAATGCATTAAACCTAATATTTTGCAATGAATATATATTGCCACTACGCGTTACGACAGGCCATGAAATTTCATCCAGATAAAAACCCGGAACAAAACGCTGCAGACAAATTCAAAGAAATTAGCCATGCGTACGACATTTTAAGTGATCCTGAGAAACGGTAATTTTTGATTGATTGATCAATCGATCGATGCTATCTTTTTATTTGAAATCGTAAGGATATTAAAAGGTTTCTCCTCATCCATAAATAACATTGCTACAGTGGATTGTACGATCAATATGGGGAAGAGGGACTATCAGGCGTTGGTGATGGTGGTGGGATGTCACCTGAAGATATCTTTGCTAGCTTTTTCAATTTTGCCTCGGGAACTGGTGGATTTCCGGGTAAATGCAAAACCTAATCAATCATATTTGTACAGTCAAACTTAACTGTAAATCATGTGTATGAACTAATACTTACTTTATGTGATAATGACGATAGGTGGCGCTAAATCGAGACAAAGGCGCGGTGAAGATATTGTAAAACCATTTCATGTGACATTAGAGGATTTGTACAATGGAAAAACTGCGAAAATTTCTTTGCAGAAAGATGTCGTCTGTCCTCTTTGTCACGGGTAATTTTATGATTTAAGAATTTAATTTATTCTTTATTTTATCATACCCAATAATAATCTAAATTCATTCTTAATTTTTTATCTTTTATCCTCACCTGCGATTACCAGCAAAGGAGGTAAAACTGGAGCTAGGAAAAAATGTCATAGCTGTGATGGAAGAGGTGTAAAAGTTATAATGCGTCAGATTGGACCTGGAATGATTCAAAGAATGCAGGCGGTTTGTCCGAATTGTGAGAACTATTCTCATTAATATCATCATTTATACGTTATTATGGCAATAATATTTAAAAATTGAATTTCGTAAATGATTTCAGGTGATGGTGAGGGAGAAGTGATAAAAGAAAAAGACAAATGTAAAAAGTGTAAGGGAACAAAGGTTATAAAAGAAAAGAAAGTTTTGGAGATCTTCATAGAGAAGGGTATGCAAGATGGTCAACGAATTATTATGCCAGGAGAAGCCGATCAAGAGGTAAGGAGAGGAAATCAATTATCTTGCTATATATGTAAGAATGATATAGAATGTAGTTATAGATTTAGTCGGAATAATAACTCATTGAAAAATTTTTATATAGCCAGGCGTCGAAACCGGGGACGTAATTCTTATTCTGAAACAGAAACCTCATTCCACATTTGAACGTCAAGGCAATGATTTAAAGACCAAAGTAACAATCTCCCTAACAGAAGCTCTTTGCGGCTTCTCCAAAGTGCTCTTAAAACACCTGGATAAACGTGGATTGGTAGTAACTCAACCAGCCGGCGAAGTTATTAAACCTAATGAAATTAAATGCGTAATGAATGAAGGAATGCCGACATATAAACGCCCGTTTGACAAAGGAAACCTTTTCATTGAATTCATTATTGAATTTCCAAATTCAATGTGGATTACCCCCGATAATTTGAAGGTAGGCAAAGCACTACAGAATTTAACAGATTCCTTATCGATATGCTTGTTAATAAAACAAACTCGAATTAGGTCCTCGAGTCTTTATTACCCGAAAGACTACCAGAAGAAAAACGAAAGTCTAATGATATCTTAGATGAAGTACAATTAATAGAGAGTGATTTATCTCAGGTAAAATCTACTATTTGATTGTGAAAATTTTTTGATTTATTACTGATAAATTAATAAATTGTATATTTATTAATTAGTATGGTAATAAAAGTGGAAAATCTGGTAATGTATGGGACGAAGAAGAGGACAATATTGATGATAGTGATGAAGAGAATGCCATAAATTGCAATCAACAATAAGCTGCATATAAACACACATCCATTAATATTCCATTTACCGTATACTTTTATCAAAGTACAGTAAGAGGACATTCTTAGATATTAATTATTCTTGCATAATTTACCAAGCTCAAAAGTTAACATTGTATTTACGAATTGAATTTTAATGACGAATGCCAAAGCACTTAATAATAATAATAATACTACTACTACTACTACTACTACTATTACTAATAATAATAATAATAGCAATATTAATAGAAAACAAAGCTTCGATTAAGTTAAAATAAATATTTGGAATAAGTAATCATTACATAACTTATGATATTCACGTGATAATATTGGTGATTAAGACCTTCTCCCTTTATTTAACACCTAATTTGTAAGTTATAGAATCGTTTCAGTTTATCCTTTTCAAATATCGATATCTTGTTAATTGAAAGTCATTAATAAAATAAATGTCAATAAGTATACATCTCATAAATTAGCAGATAGCCTTTGAAAGTTATATAGACTATTTATATATGTAGTTACAATGCGTCCAATCCTTTTGAAGTACATCAATCTCGATTTAAATTTGTTTCGTATGTGGTAACATCTATAATTACTGTAATCATATACAGTCAAAGTCCTTTACAACAAACTCGGCTTTTATCTAAGTCGCATCGATGGACCAATTTCTAACTATATATGTAAAAACGTCCTATACACCGGATTTACCATGCCAATGCCGCCGTTGTAAAGTACTTTGACTGTATAACAAATATGGGTATTAATAAAACTAGTTGCGCGCCTTTATTGCTTTGAGAGTTTCAATAATACTGTTAGTCATGATTTCCACGACAACTTGTGAAATTGTATTTAAAAATGCGTTAAAATCATTGATTTTTCCGACTCGCAATATATTTCAATCTTAGTTTATCGCGTTCTTCTTCGGTAGTACTGTGTAATATTGGCAAAAATTAACCAACTAGTTAATATAATATATAATTAACAATCAATAATAGTAATTCATCTCGATTTATTAGAACTTACAAATTTTTTAAACAAGAATTCATTAATTTTAGTTTACTGCGACAGACCCATGCAACAGAGATCATTCTACCAGAACTGCACTCCACAAACTCTTAAAGAAACGAAATTTTAATCATCTGCTCGTTATATAAACATCAATAATCTGCATGAAAAATAAATAACCTTGAATTTGTGGCGCACATTTTTTAAGTGCGTTCGTTTTCAATGCTTGAACAATTTTTTCTTCTTCACCCCTTGTCAAGATATTCATATCGCTCATAATTGAATAATTAAAATCTTTTAATTACGCAAAAAAAATAATGATAATGATAACAAGATGTGTATATAACTAAGTTGGGAGATCAATCAGTCATATCTATCGATCTATCTAAATATTTATACGATATTCCATGTGCTTAGCCACTTTCGATTCGACATTTCGCTGGCAGGATAATCCATTCCAAAGGCGATATCCTTAAAGAACCAAAACACGGCAGTTACAAGAAAATAAGTTGCTCCGTATATAATATATCGAGTTTTAGCAGCGAGATATACGGTGAAATGGTCAAACAGAAATCCGACCATAAGGATGGAGAAATATAAAGCTGGGAAATAATGATGTAGATAAGTTACACGTCCCATTATACAGAATGGTAGATAATGCAATAACCAGCCAATTCCACAAATTTTTCCAACATATAAAAAATGATTCCATTGTGCTTATAAAAATTTTAGAAGAAAAAATTTAGTGGATAATAAATATTGATACAATAAGAAAAAATGATACCGAAATAATTACCATCACTCGGAAAATCTTGGTATTTCCTTTGTCTTCTTATCAAATACCACGTTAATAATACTAAATATATGACCAATGAGAGCGAGCCAGACCACCAGACAACCGGATTACCCAATAAATAAAATTTAATCACATCATCGGCCCAACTACACATTCTCAGACCAACTTTCAAGAGTGGCCATTGATCTGGCGTAGATGCGAGAATATCCTCTTTATCAGGATCGGGAACAAGTGCATTATTGGATGTGTACATGGCAACATTTAAATGCCAAAAATCATGAATAAATTTTGATTTGTATATTGCTTTCGGACCAGGTGGTACTAAATAAATCAACAATGTGTCGTTAGGTAATGACTATTTCTAAAAGCGAATAATTAATGAAAAAAAGAAAAAGATTACGTTTATCATTCCAATGATGTTCTATATTCCAATGAGTATAAGAATCTTTTACATTATTTGATTTATCACAAGTGACCTCAATCTGTTTAAATCCCCACTGCGGTAAAATAGCATTAGCCGCACGTAGATAGCAACCAAGAACTTTATGTCGAAAACGTATACGCGTAGTCAACGATCTGACGGTTTGTAAATCCTTTTCATACATATCATCGAGCACTTCAACCTGCCAATAGTCATTGTCATCGCCAATCGTATCATTACCGTAACAACTTACTTCCCATTGGGATTTGGTGACAGGTGCATCAATCATATGACTATGAAGATTACGGCCAGTTGATGCGTGTAATAATCGAATTAAATCTCCATTCTTTACCAATTCTACTTCGTCGTCTTCTGACCATGCAACTTCTCGAGGCTTTTTCACGATCCAATCGTTATTGCTGTCTTTGTGATGGTAGCATGTAATCTGTTGTTGTTCGGATCCAGAAGGATAAGTTTGCACGTGGGAATGTAAAAGCCCGCCACCGTATCCCATATTTTTAAGTGTAATCTTTGACCCATAAGCCAATTCTTAATTGCAATAATATAATAATATGTTAAACTAATTAATGTATATAATCACGGCTATATAAATTAAAAAAAATACCGAGAGGATTCTCGTTAAAATTGTTTCCAATCAGACTAGCTTGAAATAATGAACTCATTTGAGCATCGCCAGGACCGCTATTAATTAAAATTGCAAAATGGATCGCAAAAGTAAGCATGTAAATAGAGATCGGTAAGATTATAAGGCATCCGATTCTCGCAAGCCAATGTTGACAGTAAACAATCTGTGAAAAAGAAAGTCAAAGTAAAATAAATTCGTCATCTGAAAAATATAAAGATTTACTGCTATGAATGAAAAGGAAGAAAGGCGAACCTTTGGCATACTTAAATCGCCAAACTTATCCCATAGGTCTTCTATCGTATATAAGCCAACCAAAGCGGTAGCAAACAATCCCACCCATTTAACGCTAATGAGATAGACGTTAAAAACCGAATACAAAAAACATGTGAAATAATAATAATTTGTTCACCTTGAAACGCATCCAATCGAAACTCCTGTTAACGTAAGCCAGATCCACCAATCTATCGAGAATGAGCTGTAAGGTAAAAAAAAATTACAACAAATTAATTTACAGGAGAACAAAAAATTTAAATGAAAATAAATATTTCAAAAATCATTGTTCAATTTAAAACTAAACTTACTTCTTACGCTCATTATGAAATTTTGTCAAACAAAAAACGGTAGTGCAAGTAAAAAACAAAAGCATGGAATCGAGCAGTATAAACCGACTAATGCATAGATATGCCGTGTCTATAACAAGGATTTGGCTGTAGCTTTGAGTAAAGAGGAGCTTAACAAGTCACTATTAGGAGACGTCTAAAAATTAATTAATTGTTGTTCGGTCATTTCTTACCTAAGAGAACGAATAAAGTTACAAGAATTGCCGACTGTTGCGAATAGTCCAATTCAATCGCAGTGTAATAAGCTAATGGAACCATCCCTGCTCCAAACGAGGCAAGAAATATTCGCATCCATGCATAATTCACATTGTCAGGATAAGCTTCTCCGGACTTGAATTCAAATGAACCGTCATAACCGGCAAGCAGTCCTGCTAATCCGACAAGCATTTTCCCAAGCGGCGGATGCACATCAAAATAAAATTCCCGCTTAAGATAATGGGATCCAAACTAACATTATTCATTTTTAATTAAACTTTTATGCTATCAAAAATTACATAGATAATCATTTACTTGGAAAGAAAACACTTGCCTTTCCGAAATGTGCCTTCATTTTCAATACATTTAATAAATTTAATAAGAGAATCAATATCAATGTCAATTATATGTCGAAAGGCTCTTTGATCAACTTTCTTGTTGCAAATCGTTTATATATGCAAAAGAAAAAATATATTACTATTGCATAATACCTCATCCCATACAACGATGTCGGAATAATTAATCAAATAAAACCGCGTCCAAAGAGAAAGTAGAGTAAAGAAAAGCGGAATAATAAAATCTTGGTGTTCTCTAAAACTATCTAGATGCTTTTGGTGAAAAGAGTGCTATTTAGTTAAATAGGCGAATTTCGTGCAAGAGAAAAAGAAACAATACCTTGTTAAATTCTGAATTAAGAGGCTTATATGCTACTTCTTTATAATTTTTATCTTTTTCATTATTTTCATTTTGCCTTTTTGAGAGGAGTTGTTCGTTTTTTCGTGGTGAGGATTGCGTACCAGGATTGCGCCTTCTAAATGTATCCGTATCCATTTGAAGAATAACAACCGGTAGAAAGTAAACCTCGCGATTGAAAATTTGACACGTAAGATTGTTGCTTTAAATACCACGTGATCTTAATTCAATTCGATGTGCATTCAATCAATTCTAGTCCAGCATTCACGACAGACTTTTTTCGTGGTGTGAAATTCTTACTCGTGAGAATAGTAAGTGTGCTCTTACCTAACAAACCTCTATGCTAACCCACCTACTCTTGGAATTATATTTAAAATAGACAACAGTTTTTATTTTTTGTCGATTTGATTGTTCCATAAAATTTATGCTTTAAATCTGTCAAAATGACCGATTCCGTTAAAGGTTTGGTTGCCTTTCGATAGGTTTTTTTGCCTCTAACTTTTATAGGATGTGTTTGCTGATTATAATTAGAATGAAATTCGTTTCATTGATTTAGATATTTCAACGGAACAGCAGCTTGCTGAGCCTCCAAAAAAACGTCGAGTCTTAAAGACACACCGTTCAAGCATCGATGATTCAAACAAGCCTACAACAACAGCTACCGCAGCGACAGCAACAGCAGCAGCCGCAGCAGTAGCATCAGCGACAAGTTTAGATCTTAAATTTCAAGATCCTGATGATGAAGTAATCACCACGGAGAGTCTTAAAGTATTAATTATTTAATTTTAATCGTCTTGATTTTTTACCATGTGATTAAATTAATTTTAAATAATCAAAGGATATTCTGGACATTTCCAAATTATCTCAACAATCGGACGATCCTACTGAAAACTTGAGACATGATGAGGTTATTTTTTTGGTTGTTTTATGAGAAATCATTTCTTGCAACTCTTGAATTAATAAATTCAAAAAATCAATCAATCAGATTGTGAAAGCCCGATTTAATTTTCAAGAAATCTATTCGCATTTACTTGTGTATAACAATGCATTGAAAAAATATTCGTATTAAAATGCTTAATATTTTTTTTGTCTACTCTAAATAGACATCACAGATCGAATCAAACAACAAGGGCAAACAATCACAAGAAGGTTTATCAAATATTACTACATAATGTTAATGTATTTATTATCAATCCCATAATTAAACAAAATCCTTTGCCTTTTCGTAATGACTTTAAAGGACCGCCACCTTCTGAGCATGAACCTACTTCAACGCTTAACATCAAAAACTTTGTTCGTCCGTTAACATTAACCGCTGTACGCACACTTTTGGAACAATTTGGTACAATAGAGTATTTCTGGATGAATAAGATTAAATCTCGTTGTTATGTGAAGGTAACCCCGTGAATATAGAAAAAAATCTTTTTATTTTTGACATAATTGAGCTACATCTTTTCATTGATGATGACATAATTGTGTAGTATGAAACAGTTGATTCTGCAGTTAAAGCTCGAAACGAAATGTGGAATGTCAAATGGCCACCAGAGACTGGAAGACCATTAATTCTTGACTTTATAGAATACGAACAGGCTCTCGAATCTATTCGGAGTGAAGAATCCAGTGAGAGTACAGATCGATCTCAGGCTATAAAATCAAATTCTAATGGAAATCGTAATTGTAATTTCATATTTTTGTATTTTTTTATCATTTACCAAAATTCAATATAATAAATAACAACCACAACAATCACTCTTCCATCATCCATAATAACAAAAAAATAATAATAAAATAATTTCAGAGCAATCCTCTCAGCAGAGCGTCTCACATCTATCATTGGACAAATTATTCAGCAAGACGACTACCACCCCCGTTCTATACTTCAAACTGGTGCCGCGTGAGGTAGCCGAGGCCAGAATGCAAAATATGGCGAGAAAGAGAGAAAGGCGCTAAATTTTAAAGGATATGTTGGAAGACGTTATGCATTGACAGTATAGAGAAATAAGGTAGTTTTCTTTGTTCAGCTCATTATATAAACTAAAAATTTTTATGTAAATTCTTGCAGGACTTACCTATCGTTAATAAAAAGGTTTGTCTTAATTTTTTAGATTTTGTACATGAAGTTTATATATTGTAAATTGTATAATTGATTTCTTTTTTAACTTTTTTTCAGTTGATCACCCCCATATTTTAATCTACTCTACTATTCAATAGGAAGAAAAATATCTTGTGATTACAAAATTCCTTTTTTATTATTTTTAATTTTATTCTTACCCTTAATTTTCTTTTTGCTAATTCTTATTTTATTATTTATGTGAACATTATTATTATTATTATCACATTTCATTTAATATTATGAAAACAAAAAAATTTAGATATATTTAGTACATCTACTTTTATTTAATCTTTTGGTGGTGTTCAAAGTATAAGGAATGATGCTAAATACATGTCAGATCATGTTTCTCTTCAATCATAATTTTATTGATTTTAATTAAGGTATGTTTTTATGTTTATTCTTATGATAGTTTATATCATGTTGACATGATGAGCAAAATCCAATCCTTTAATGAAAAGTAAAAAATTAATGATTAGGCTTATTCCTTTAACTCTCTTTCTGAAATATATCATATTAATTACTCTTTATTATCACATGATTATTAGTGGATATTAATTAGAAATTTTTTCTTTTCATAGAGATAGAGGAATGACGAATGACTTTATATACGAATCATAGCAGAAAGTGAGTATATTTTTTTAATTGTAACGAATAATAAAATAAAATATTCGAGTAAAGTTAAAAAAAATGGGAATAATTTTATTGGAACCTTGTAAAAATAAAAAATCGTAATAAGATTTTGATTTTTGGAATTTGCGGATCACAAGCAAAGTCCATATTCTTCGTAGAGATCATTATGCGTATTCTGTATAAAAATTATGTGAATATACGGAAATATATTTGAAAAGAATTAACTGCTTAGTTAAATGATACTGATTTTTTAAACTGGATTTAATTAGTATGACGATGTAAAGTACTTCTCACATAAATAATATTTTCTGAAAAGATATCTAATAGGTATGTTTACACACTGGTAAGTTTCATTTTTATATTAAAAACAATAAATTCTAACATTAGTGTGATCCGATATTTACTAATCGTATTAATGCACATGATTGCACATGTTTGATTTATTGAATTATTTATGAAAATATTAAAATATTTATACTTGAATTCTCAAATATATAAAAATTATAATAATTGTAATTTTCAGAAATTATTTTATTCATATAATATAGTTATTAATTTAAAATTATAATAATTGTAATTTTTCAAAATTGATATGATTAATCATATTTTTATTGATTATAATAGAAAAAGTTATAATCTTGAAGAAAAAATATTGATTTATTCTTGACTTTTTAAAATACATTCTTATTATGTCTCTTTGAAATAAAAGTAAATAATAATATTAAATATTATATAATATATAACTTAATAATAATATAAAAGTTTATATTTATATAACAAAGAAAATATTAAATATTATTATTGTTAATTTAATTATATATAAGATTTATAATAAAAATTTAACATTTTAAAATATAATATACAATGATAATTAAAAGTAATATAATACTTAAATTTTTTATTAATTATAATTAATAAAAAATTCAAGTATTACATTACTTTAATTATGATTAATTTATAAAAAATTAAAATAATTTTATAAATTATTAGTATTATTATTATTATTAATTTAATATAATTAAGATTTTTATTATATTTTTATAATAATTTTATATATTTAAAATATATATTTAATTATTTTATTAATATAAAAAAGTTTATTATAAATGTAATAATTTATAAATAAATATTAAATTAAATATAAATATTTAAAATAAATAATATTTGTATTTATAATAAAATAAAATAAATTATATTTGAAATCTTAATAATAAATATTATAATAAAAAATAATTATTTAAATAATATAAATATTTATATATTTTTTTTAATATTTAGCAAATAAGTTTATTTATGATTATATAATAAAAAATCTTAATAAAATATTTTATAAATTTATATTTTATATTCAAAAAATTAATTTATAAAATTAGTTATAGAAACTTATATATATTTTATAATAAAAATATTAAATATATAATTACAAAAAAATAATATAAATTATATTTTACTTTATTATATAATAATAAAGTATTAAAATTTTTATAAAAATTTAATAATAATATTTCTTAATTTATAAATTATTTTTAAATAAATTTATCTAAAAAATTTCTTTATATTTTATATATATTATTATATAATATTTAATAATTTTTTATATATAATATTTAATAAATATTTATTAACTTAATAAAATTTTGTATAATTTTTAATTCAAAATAAATATTTTTTTAGAATAAAATTAAAAATAAAATTAAATTTTTACTAATTAAAAATTTTATTTAAAAAAAATTTAGTTATATAAAAATTTATATTTTAATTTATATTTTAAATAAAATTTTTTAAAAATTTATTATAAAATAATAATTAAGATTTTATTAATTTTATAATGAAAAATATTCACTTAAATAAATTTAATAATTTAATAAAATTATTAAAATACTTAATAAATTCAGTTTAAAATTAATTATATAATAATTATTTTTAATTAATTTTTTAAAAGAATTTTTATAATTAAATTTTAAATATAAAATATAAATTTATAAAATATTTTACTAAGATATTTATTTTATAATTTTATTTTATAAGTTTATTTTCTAAATATTAAAAAATATATATATAATAATTTTTATAATTATAAAATTAAAAAATTAATTTATTAATAAAATATAATAAAAATTAAATTTTTTTCTTTATATTAAAGTTTATAAAATTATTAAAAAAAATTTTTATTTTTATATTAAAATAAAATTTAATTAGAAAAAAATTTTGTAATAACTTTAAAAAATCTAAAAAATCTGAAAAAATATATATTAAATTATAATTTATAAACTTTTATTTTAATATAAAAATAAAAATAAAATTATTTTTGATAATATTATAAATTTTAATATAAAAAAAACTTAATAAAATTAATTTTTAATTCTATTATAAAAATTATTATAAATACTTATATTATTTAAATAATTATTTAATTATTTATAATTAAAAAAATAATTATTATATTAATTATTTATATTTTAAAAATATAAAAATATATTTTATAAAATTCTAATTATTATATTTAATATTATATTAATTTCTTTTTTATTAGTTTTTTATTTTATTAGTTTTATTTATAATACTTATTTTACTTAATTTAATATTTTATAAATTATAATATAAATAATTAAATAATAAATAAATATATAAAAAGATTAATATATTAATAAAAAATTA